GGCATTCTCGCATCTTATTCTTTTGTGTAGCTCTCACACTTCCGAATTCATCACTCTCGGTCTGGTTTACCAATCAACAACAGTTTTTTTATCTATGCATTCCTCTATTTTTAACAATATAAAGTCTAAAATTCGCGGGCTCATTCCATGTCGTCATTTACGTTGTTGTTTAAGTACAATGCTAGGACGATCCGTCGACTCATCCGATTCTTTTTCTTTTTCTTTCTTTCTCTCTCTCTCTCTCTCTCTCTCTGTTCTCTCATAATGTAAATAATAATATTAATAATTGTAAGAATAATATATAATGGGATGATACTATTATAATAAAATGGCTCGATGACACAGCTAATTGTCTCACATAAACGAGTCATATGTTCCGCCTCGAGCGCTTTCGACGTGCGACAGTAGCGGTTGAGAGGACATGGGAAGGAAATGTTGACAGAAAGGGAACGTTGCAAGAAATGTCATGGACTAAAGCTAACCAACAATCTTGGTCTCGTAGATGTGTATAACGTAAATTGATTTTATGTATAGAGATGCTAGTTCTCTCTCTCTCTCTCTCGTTTTCTTTGACGTTTCCATACACAGGCATTCCGAGTTATTCATTCATACGCATTTTTTCTTTCGGTCTCTCTCTCTCTCTCTCTCTCATTTCCCATTCTTCCTTTTGTATTCGCATTATCACTCCGTACAGACATGCATTTTCGTGTGTATAAAAAAAATATAATAATATTAATAATAATATAATATAACTATAATATATATGCTTTACGCGTAATTGAATAGAATCCATAATATTAATAATATCAATCTATATGCTATCTGCAATAAATGTAACAAAATATAGTATTCAATAAGTAATAATAAGCATTTTACAAGCGTATTTTGATCCTTGCTTTGATATCGGTGTGTATATCGACGTACATATATGATTAACATAAAACAAGAGAAAAGAAGAGAGCGTCATGATCGTGATTTTTCTACTCTAATCTAAATCTCTAATATAATTGACAACAAGTATGTGTATGTGTATGAAAAAATGTATGAATATGCGTATATTCCCGCGTTATATGTGTGCATACGCGCTTAATCGTGATTGCCCGTAATATAATCTGGCAAGTGGCTTGCTTTCACCGAGGGGTGGCACATTTTATTGTTTTACTTTATCTTTAAACTTTATCTTACAAACTACATAACCACAAGTTATTGGTAATGCTATCGTTTTCGGTCACGTTTAACGCGCGCCGACAATATCATGATTTCATTACAACTCGAGTAAGATTGAAAAACTGAACTCACTGTAGGTGAGATTATAAAATGTGGTACTTTACGTCCTGATAAGGACGCGTTTATCTAATAAAGAAAATCTTTACCTTTATTGCTCTCGAGTGAATCGTGTTTGCTGTGATCAATGCGAGTTTCTATCTCGCACAGATATCGAATCTCGGAAGTACTCGTAGTAAGACCGAATATAATTTCACCTTCTCCCGTTTACTTTGAAGCCAAAGAAAAGCAGTTTCTCGTTTAGCAGTTTATTATAAAGATAAATATTTTTATAATGCGTAAGATAAAAGGATAAATATTTTTAAAATGTGTATGAAGTTCTCTCTCTTCTCTTAGAGGGAATAATATTGATCGTTTTAACTCCGAGATATCAATTCGTTATTTTATTATCTAACGTCTGGTCCGGACTGCTGCTGTATTATAGGGAGATTATACTACGAATACAGTGTGATTATATTACTCTTATTAGTCTTAAGACTTAGAAAAAGTCGTGGCTTCTCGATGTTATTTCGAGCGTGACGTGGCAAAGAGTGCGGCACAAGAAGAGGCGATCTCTGGATCTCTGTTTTATGGATTTTTTTAACTTTTTGCAGAAACACGCGATATGAATTTCCGCTTCAAGTCGAGATTTTGCACGCAATGATCGTGGCTAATAGCAACGTTATGAAATTGCATCACGTCTTCATGTACGCGTAAATACGTCGCGCGCGTTAATATGCTCGTAAATGAAAGGCTATAAAGGTCTTGTTAACGAGACGAGGCAAATAAAAAGAAAGTTTCGATTGGCTTTTTACAAGCTGTTGATGAGATTTGTATTTTTCTTCTTTTTAATATTTTTATATTACCGTTTTTTTTACAATTTGTCGCGCGGCGTTTAAATCTTTATGGACGAAAATCGAATAGAAATGCGGAAAGACGCATCAGAGAACGCAATGATCGCCTCTGTCATTGATTAACACACATATATCGGGGGTCATTCGTTTAACGTGAAATGACGGCACGCGCGTTACGATATACATAAGTTATCGGCTTTTAAAATTATAGTTCGCGGGATTCATGCCGATGACATTATTAATGCGACGCGTTTTTAAAACTTGCGGGCAAATTAAGAATCGATACGTCAACTAATGTACGAATTAATAGATACGATCTCATATAAATCTACAATATACGTCATACGTATATGTAACATATATCGGGATACTTAAATCAATTTTGATTGATTTACATGGCGCTCGCACTTGCAACGCGACGCTTCGGTATCCTATTCTAATAATTGATATAATTTGTTCACGAGACGAAAACAAGTAATATAGAGTAACGTGTCGCTTTTCGTACGGTTAGCGACGTATGCGTACATTCTTGCACATTCGACTCGCTTCAATTGAGTCGAAGCCCGTACATCTATGCCGAAAGACCATTTAAAGTCTTATACAAATGATAACTATTAACGAAATATTCGTCAAAAAATCTAGAAAATATGTGTCAAACCATATTACAAAACATTTAGATTCTGTCTCTATAATATTATAATAAGATTACATGACCTACTCAGAAACAACGTTGAATTCTTCTTCGATGTTGAAAATTCAATAATCCCATGATAATGATCCTTCATGATTCTTCCTGAGTCTTCGCTGAAAGTTAATTAGCACGTTGCTACTCGATGCTCGATGAACCTTCTTACAATTAGTAAGCCCGTCACCGGCAAATTGTGCAAGAATCTTCAAGTGCGATACACAAGAAATTTCGCTGTCCATTTAACAATTATCGTTAGACACGAAATCTTGCTGATCCTTTTCCTCCAAATGACCAATCCTCACCAACTTACGCGGTATATTTACACGATCAAAAATGGACTTCTTTCTCGTCTAATTTGGTTCAGGTGTTGCTGTTGTCGTGAACGTGGGCATGTGCGTGCGTGGAGTTGGCGAGGGGTGAGTGCGGCAATGGTGGAGGATGGGATAGTTCGATGAGAGTGACGTCGTATCCGGCCGTAGAGGGAGAATCGCCCGGATCACCGGGATCGCCCGGCGAGTTTGGATTACGTTCGCTGCCAGGATCCGGATTGATCCGCGAGTGGCTGACCTCCAGCAAGAACAGGTCCTCGTCGACGTAATATCGGATCATATCGTCGTCAATTTTCGCTGTAATTCTGCAACAGGGTAGGGTGACGCTCTCGTTAAATCTCCTCGAGGTAGCGCGATCCGCGAACGGAAACTATAAGTATCATTTCTCGAAAAACGTATAATCGTTCGAGTTGGCATGCAACGCGGTAACTTTGGCCGCTATAACATTATGATGCTTGGCAAACGAGCTGCTAATTTATGTTATGTACGATTAACGGCATGTCGCATTATCATTATGAAATTTTAATGCGCAAAAACTTTCAAGAATTTTATATGTTGTGTGATGGATATATTATTATACTTTTATAATATTCAATATTTATTTCTTTTTAATATAATTTCCCGGCATTAAAAAATTAATATTATATAAAAGAGGAAAAATATTTGGAAAATAATGTTACTGTATAGAATATCGTCATGAAATCATCACAGTATTGTAGCGGCGAAACGAGACGATGGATCCGCGGTGGATTTAAAAAAAAAAAAAATAAAAAAAATAAAAAATGAATTGTAAAATTCGCACCGCACTGCGCATAGTTTGAGAGAAAAAGAAAGAGAAAGAGAGTGAGAGAGAATTCGTTTTTATAACGTGAGCAATATATCGAATAACGAAGAATAATCATTGAGGGAAACAACGGCCGTCGTGTACAACCAACGTATGTTGGAAAATGTATGGACAAAAAGGGAAAAAAGAGTCAGCCGAACGAGACGCACGACGATATTAGACGAGGCAATCAAACGTGCATGGATGCGCTCGTAACGGAAGGCAAAAGACGAAGGGAAAAGAGAAGCGTGAAGAATAAATTAGTGGATTAATCAGGCGAGATTGTGCGTATCGGCGAGATATACTCAGCATGCAGCGACATTTGCGTGCATGTCAAGATGATCAGCAAAGAGAGTACACTTAACAAGAATTGTGTATGTATACAAACGTACAATGCAGAGGGACGCGTATCCGACATTTGAAAGAGGCACGATCATAGGCGAAAGGGAGAGCGAGCGAAAGAGAAAGAAAGAGAGAGAGAGAGAGAGAGAAACTACCAAACCAGAGGCGGAGAGAGTCAGGCAATGTCACCGTTATGGCATGCATCGCGTAGGCGTGCATGCAAGTAAAGATGACACTCTACTAAACTTACCCCTTTGTGTTTTTGCGATAGAGATTATTAATACTCGAGGATGCAATTTTGTACTTTGACTCAATCTGCAAAATAGAAAAAAGTAGAACATTAGAATTTTGATAGTGGTTTGCGGACCATTTATTGTTTCACGCCCGCGTATTTGAGAAAGTACTTACGAGACACGCGAAGGTGGACGCAATATCTCCGCGATAGCGAGAAAGATATAAAGACAGAGCCAGATCGATAGACAAAATAGATCGAAACGTAGTGATATAGTAGAAAAGGAACATATATGAAAAATTGAGTCGCGATTGAGCCGCAATTGAGATAGAAATGCGCGATCTATTCCCATGTGAACCATGTAGAAAACGCGACAGAGAAAAGGAAAGAGATAAAGATATATTAAAGAAAGAGGTGTTTTTTTCCATTTTTTCCTTCTGCCGGTTCATACGTAACACGCTCTTACATCAACGTTCGACAAATCCTTATGAGCCGCTAACAGTCTCGCACATCCGCGAAGAAAAAGAAAGAGGGAGAAAGAAAGAGAGAGAGAAAGAAAGAAAGAGAAAGAGGGGTAATATGATCGTACGTCTTGCATTTTTGATATTATATTAATAAGGATCTTGGACACAGGTGACAATGATGCATGCGCATTAATATTAATTAGCTGGGTGGACCAGTGCGAACGCGCGGATATTAATAATGGCGTAGGTATGCCTTCACATGCATAGGTAATTTTTGACATGAGGCCATATGTGTGTGTATACATAAATAAACATATATGTACATTTGTGTACTCTCCTACAGCGCGTAATTTTCCGCGTCGAATCGAGCGCGACTGAATAAGTGAAACTAAAGTGGTACCGATTGAAATCGAAACAGTTATTAGTTATCTTTCGGCGTATGATTTTATTAAACTTGATAACGTTTACCGACTCTACGTTACAGGAAACCTATCACTATCGATATAGCGAGATATAGCACGTGACATTATTGTCGTTTATTCTGTTTTTAGAGCAAGCCAGCCGGCGAACGTAATCACGTATTAACCCATTAACGCCCATGGTTGCGCATATTCGAGACATCGCCCGGTGTTTTGCATAAAATGTTATGGCTACCGTAGGTATAGTTGCCGATATCTTTCGATCGTGATATGGAAATGGCGAGAATTTCCATTTCCCGTTTCCATTTCTACGAGGCATACAAACGAGTTTAGAGAATGTTACATTATCTACTTTACTACCGGATGACAACTATTAACGTTTAGTTAACGCGACACTTGAACGCATATTTCTCTTCAATTACACGCGTTCGATTTACATTTCTACGATATTCATTCTTCGCCTTAAAGTGAACAGTACATTTATATCACACGATTCCTTAGGAAGAATTAATTTCTTTTGCACATTGCGGACATTAATAGCTCACGACAACGCAGCGAGATTATCCGGGCCTATATCTGGGCTCTCTGTATATATAACTTCCGAAAAAACTTGATAAATATATTTCTCTCAAATCTTTGTATCTCCAAAAACTGCGCGTACGCGCGAGCCGTCATCTCGCAGCTGCAAAAATCCGTGAGATCAATTCTATGCACGCGGATGTTTGCGTGTGTCGCAAATGTGTGTATTTGTCGGCGGTATAAAAGAAAAATATCTTTAGGGTATATTCCTTACAGCATTGAGCAATCCCTGGACCGTCGGTGGCGTAACGTGCAACGGCGTGAAGACTTCCTGCGATTCTTGACGCACGTACAGCATTACGCGCTCCTCGGCGTCGGTCGGGCGTAAATGCGGCGGTTGTTGCTGCAAGTGGAGCCGATTGTTTGATACCACAGCGCCCGCTAAGCCGGTCTGTTGCACCCCTTGCAGCACCGACCCCTGCAGCTCCTGCACCTGCATCAGCAACGAGTCCTTCTTGTCGTGCAGGTTACTGAGATTGTCGGGTGGAAAGTGGTTGTGGAACTTGAGGGCCGGCAGATTCGATCGGCCGCATGCCGCCGGATAGGGGCTGTTACCCCCCGCCTTCAATCCTCCACTTTCACCGTTACTGAGGGACGAGGTGTCGGTGTCACCCCCGCCCCCGCCGCCGCCACCACCGTAGAAGCCCGACAACTCCATCGTCGAGAACTGTCGTGGAAGAAGAATAAAGAATTTATTTTTACTTTCTGCGCGTTTTTTTTTTTCTACTTGCGAGACGACGAGAATCCTTTTGAATTTTGCGTTGGGAAATGAGGAGCAATCTTGGAATGCAACATTGGTTTTTTTTTTTTTTTTTTAACAAGTAATATTTGAAAGGTACAAATCACAGAGAGAAGTCTAGAACAAGAATCACAGAACAAGTCTAGAAATTAAGAGCAGGAAGAAATAAATATGAAAACTTCAAAAATTTTGCACATTGATAATAAAATAAAGTGTTTCATCATTACTTACTTTGTAATAACACGATGTATAATATATTATTATATATAATTACACAATAAAGAGCATATAATATTTATTCTGATAAATTACATTAATAATATATCATGGGGTAAGATAAATAAAGGCTAAGATTCGTTGAATTAAAACGCAAAATTCGAAAGGTTGTCTCCGAGAAAGTCCACGTCGTTACTTTGCGATGCAAGAGTTGCGGTTAGTGTAAGGTTCTGGCGGAGGTGAGAGCAGAGGATTGTGGTTGCCACATGATTTTTTTGGGTCAGTTTCTACACCGATTAATTAATGAAAAACGCATGCTAAGATAATAACATACTCGTACTTATTTAAAGATAAACAAAGTTTTCTAATTCAACCACTTTATAGGCGATAATGCATTTCATCCAAGTTAATGTAATATATCAGAAAAATAGTTTATTCCTACTCATATATTTTTTTTCGTATTCGTATAATGAGATAATCTCTTTAAATTCAATATCATATATTAAGTGGCCTTTAATCAGATTTATATCTACATAAGAACTCGACGAGTTCTTGCAGACGACACTTTTATTTGCTTGAATTACGTATAAAAAAAAGTGGATTATCACCTTGTCGATGGCGTGCTCGGCCGGCGGCGAGAACAGCACCGGCGGTTTATGCAGGTCGACCATGGAGTAAAACTCGCTGCGCTCCGTGACAGAGTGATAAAGCTCGTCGAGCTTCTTCCTGCCAGTCGCCGTCATCTTCCTCTTGGCCGCGCGTCTTTCCTCGTCCCGGGTCTTTCTCTCTGCCCCCTGTGGTAAGCAACGTCTCTCAACTTAATTTCGACGATCGTTATTGCGACCAGGAAGCGATCGCGCGTTATTTACATTACAAATGCGAAAAAAAAGAAAAGAAGAGAGACGGAGAGAAAGAGAGAAAGAAAAGAAGAGATAAACGTACGGAAATGCACGAGAGTGGTTACCTTATCGCAAAAGACCTTAATTTGACAGTAGCCCCGATGGGACGGCGGCGTGTACGTGTGCGTGTGAGGCGGCGATTCCTCGTACGTGTCGACCTGGATATGCAGCGGCAAACCCTTCACGCCTTTCTGACTCGAGAAATCGGTACTGAGACACTGCACCGCCACGTTTATCTGCGCAGAAATCGGACAGGTAACAGCGGTGACCGCTTACGCGCGGGAATTACTTTATTAATGTTTCCGCTAAAAAAAAAAAAATTCACGCGATCGCGAATGCGATACAATTTGCGCGGTGCGATTGCGCGGCGATAATCGAGATATGTCAGGAGAGGGCCGGGGTGTATGCGTATAAATGTTTAAAGAGAGGTAACGCGAATTGACATTTCTCGGCGTTCCTTACCTTCGCTGACGATTCGAGTGGGTTCCAGTAAACGGCAATCGCATTGTGCGCGACTTCCTCTATGCAGCCCACTAGACCGACGCTGTTCTTTGTGTCTGTAACAACGAACGTGATTCTGAAACTCGCAGATCATGCTAAGGAATATGAGGCAACTAATACTAACGCTCTAGCGAGATGCTTTTAGATAGAATATTAAAATAACGGGGCGTATGTAAGTTGACGATAAAATCTTACCGTTCGTCCGTTACGGATTAGGAGGCTTGCACAAAAACACGAAAGACTTAAAGATTTAATCGATCATGAATATCGATAGTTATTATCGTCGTGTATTATTCACAAAGAAAGCTATTATTGATCAGGTTCGCCTTTCATATCTTTTTATATTATCTTACCAGCATCAAGAATCCGTTGCTTAACAGAGTGTTGTCTGCCATGCCAAAACTGCCAAGCTTTGATCTCGTCCTCCGGACTCTTCTCTTCCCGAAACATCAACATTACCACGCTCTGCGCAATGCGGATAAATAATTATTATAACAAAAGAAATTTACAATTATTAATTATTATTTATTAGCATTTAGATTTATTTGTGACGATGGCAAAGAAAACTTTCTAAGAGATATTAACATTTATATATAAAAATCAATATCAAACGCATGCATTCGAATATTTCTCTATACACACAAACCCTTTTATATTTTTTCGATAATACAATATATTGTCATAATTATCAATTCAACTTGGAACGTTTTTTAAACAAATGGTAGTTAAAGCTCCTTGGCATAGCAATGCGGCGAGATTTCTTGCATTATCTAATCAATCTGCCGTGTATAAAATAGTCTAAAAAAATTGTTACAGATGCAAAATTAACTTTCGAGATCTCGTTCACCTGGATCGGCGATATCTTTTGCTCAGGCGATACGCGGAGACGCACATCAACCGCGACAGACGCACGCTCGAGCGGGCATAAGCGGGCGTGAGCGTTTCGCCGCTCGCGGCGAGCGAGCGCCGAGACGGAGGAAGGATTTTTCGTGATTCGGGTGAATGGGCGAAGAACCGCACTCCGACGTACCGTAGGAAATATTGGCGCGCGAAATAAGGAAGGAAAGAGAGAGGGATACCCGTGAATAAGAGGCTCGCGTTACGCGTTACGTTTATACTTATCTACCTACTCGCCCGATCTCCCTTAAGGCTCACGCCGCGAAAGATAGCGGGTATACCGTTCGAATCTGCCATACGCTCGATTAGCAATTAACGAGAAAGTCGTAACTCGTCGCGCCGATGGAAAAAGAATCCACTGCCTTTATCAGAATGGAAATTGCTAACGGTGCGCGCCGCGGCTGCCAATTAGAGTCGCGAAAACAAACGACCACTGGGCTCTTCTGGTTTCGACACGCTGCGCGCGCGCCGATCATCTCTGCGAATTTTGTCGCTCGAGTCACGCGAACGAGATACTGTTCAATGCCAAGGAACAGGATAATTCGACGTGACAATTACGTCATAGATGCTAGATAATGTTGTCGCAATAATACTGTCATATAGTCTTATTATTTAATCTCGAAATTAATTTAGAGAGGGAGAGAGAGAAAATACTATAGGCACAAATAATGAATTATAGACACAAATAATGATTATATTTTTTTTCTCTCGAAATCTTATTGACATTAATATAAAAAATAATTAATCATGAATTTAAAAGCTATTAAAATTCGGACAATTATTTTTATTGAATATATTATTTGGGTCCCTACGATCTTGAACGTAAACATTAATCTTTCAAAACTGCATGTTTATCTACATCAATCTATACATCATCCTATGAATACCGTTATGCAAACAGTGTAATTATCCTTTCTGTTCTTACCTTGACCGTCTGTCCTGCCTTGAGAAGTGGTTTGTCAGGATCGGGCACATAGTCCAACGTGATACCATAAAATTGGCCCTTGTTGATATATGTTATTCTGTCATCCTCGCGGCGCTGCGACGTGCTGATTGGCGATTCCAGATGATACTTAAATCCGTAAGGTGAGAAACTAAAGGGCAGACAGATAAAATTCCCCGAATAAAAAAAAAAAATGTGGATACCAGCACACGCTCGTATGTAAAAAACGTGCATATTTAAGCTGCCATCTTTCCTCAGTCATTATGCATTTAGCCGTTTCACACACGGTCAAGATTGGATCGCTTTTACTCGATTATGATAATTATGTGCTCGCAAACGTATGCTCAATTAGCCGATTAATGCGCTATGCAACGTCAGTAATTATCGCACAATTATCGATTAATTCTCTATATGAATTCTCACATTTCGCGCTGGTTAAAACAAATATATTCTGTTTGAAAAACAACCGAGATAAATATACGAGACAAATAAAACCGCGAGAAGCATTTATTAATTACGTTCCTCATTGCGAAAAAAAGCGAACGCGTATGTATATTCCAACGACTAATAAGAATCGAACGATAATGAAAGGCTTGAATTATCTGTAGCCTGAGAAAGTTGGCAACCCGACGCGAACGCGCGACGCGACGTGAAAAAAAAGGAAGACGCCGTAGGACATATCGGGATTCGCATCAACCTTGCCGATGGAATATCGCGCTTCTAATCGAGCTTATCTCCGTCTCGCGGCTGCGATTGCGAGGCAAATAAGTAGAGACGGCCGATACGCCTTATGAAAAATGGACGCCCATAACCCGAGACAGACCAGGGGAAAGACCACGATACAAGACAAGGGCAAAACAACGACACGCGCGCGCGCGATGGAGCAAGGTGGACGCGAAGGTAAAACGGGAGCAAAACGATCGGCCGTTACGATCGAGGAAAATCGCTAATCGCCAAACCTCGTCTACCGATCTTCGTCAGAACTATCGGTGAACCTTTTGCCGACGGTATTATCGCGCCGTCACGAAAGCCTCCAATTATCTCCATCCGCGCGCGACGGCCGGCGCTTTCGTATTCGCGACGTGGTCTTTTCGTCTATTTTTTTTTTATCGCTCCGTACTTTTCTCATTTTTTTTTTTTTTTTTCATCAGTCGTGCTGGAGAACCGGATGCAGCGAGGCGATAACTGACCGTGGCGAGGGTGAACGCTCTCCTGTACGCCTCTGCTGCTTGAGCTACCGTTGCTACTCGCTGTCTATACATCTTGTTACGACTCTCTGTGTGTGGGTTACACGAGACTACCCTTGACTACGTCCGTCTTTCTCGTTTCCGTTTGCAAAAAAAAAAAAACAGTGATCTTTTCCCTTCCCCTCCTTCTCCTCTTCCGTACGCTCTTCTTGACATTTCGATTTCACGGTGCGAGTAGTCGGCCGATGCGCGATTTTTCAACCCGGACTCGGCGCGACCCCGAGACGCTTGTCCGTTCTTTGAGAATCGGTCGGAGAGAGCCGACTTAATATCTTTAACATCATTGTTCATCGCCGGTTGTTTCGGTGAGCTGAGCGAGAGAGGGATTTTCAGCGCCACTGATCGTATATGGTCAGTTTAACAATGAAAGTAACAAATTACAAAAGGCGGATGGAGCAAAACGGGAAGTAGGAAGATCATTAGTAAGGATAGATATAATAAAGAGAGAGAGAAAACTGAATCAGTCGGCAGGCAGATGTGATGAACCGCGGAGGAAATGAACGGTATACGCGCGAAAGACCAAGAGGCAGGAAGTTCTTCTTTTAGTTAAAGACTAATGGAGATATTAATTTCTCGTGAAAGTGGAATAATATTGTGTCGTAAATTCATTTTCAGCAGTGCCATTAGTCGTCAGAATAAAAAAAAAAATATCTTAGTTTATATTTCAAATATTTATCATTAGCAATAATAATTAAATGTAAATTAAACGTTAAGAGAAAGATTATAAATTAATAATTAAATTACTAACTATAGTAATATTTCTATCATTTTACCATGATATATTTATCATACATATGATTATAATATTGATTCTTAAGGTTATAATAACCAATATTTTTGTGCAATTATTTGTATTTAAAGATCGAATATATGAATTTCAGATATTGAGATGAGTGATTTCGTTTATGCACGATTAAAGGTGTTCGTCTTGTTGCAAAAGCTCACAGCTGTTCACTCTGGACAGCATAGAGTTATTAACTTTTATCGCATCTTTTTCATTCCTTTCATGTAATAAGACAGATTTATCTATCAATCTCGATATTTATCTATTCGTTCGTTATTCCATCCGACAGAGCAACTTGAACATTCGCCTTTGCAACGTTTATTATATATTTATCATAATTTATTATCTTCACTTATTAATTCGCTTTAATCAGGTAAATTCTGTTGAAGACGTGATTTTATCTTTTTCGACACTAACATTGTTTTTGATCTCTTAAATTTAAGTTAAAAAACCCAGGCAGCTGTTAAAATATCGACAATAGAAATAAAACCGACTTTTTGCATGAAATATTACATTTAAAAAATTTTATTTCCAAGTAATACTTTAGAGAGAAAAAGACGCGCTTCATCAAATTTTGTATCTCTGTCGATTTTTTAAACAATTATTTTCGAAGTTTACTTACATTTTCGGTATCTGTATCTTGTCGGCATCGTTCTGTCTACCAAAATCATGCCAAGGCCGCGACCTCGGCGGATTCGGGTTCGGATTCGGATTTGTCGCACCTGCGGATACGAGACTGCCGCGTTGCACCTGTGCCTGTGCGTGGCTTTGCTGAAGTTGTAGTTGCAGGGGTTGGTGGTGTATCACGGCGCCGCTTTCGAGGACCACCGCCGCTCCGGCTGTCGTCCCGCCGGGACATAATTCCGTATAGTCGAACGAGGACTAGAAAGTAAATTTAGTTCATTGTTGTGAAAAAAATGAAGCCCATATATCATCCTGTAAAAATAAGCGCCGTAACTTTTTCTAATATTTTTTTTTTTCAGTTATGTCTAAATATTGGAAATTCAAGTTAAAAATTATTGCGCAAGTAATAGAACTATATTTTATGATGAATAAAATACTCGAAAATAAGATAAGCATTTATATAAATGATGATTATAAACTTTCTCGAAGTGATACGTGGTACCACAAAAAGTATAATCTTTTATTTTATTAATTACGTTAAATAAGCAACCGGTAATTTTCTAGCAATATTTTCATGAAGAAAATATGAAATATAATGATAATGTTGCATATGTATACTGGCTTTTAAATAACTAATAGAAGACACTGTATATATAGCGTGTGAAGAGATAATGGTAGTTGTACCTCTTTCCGGTCGCGTTCTCGTAGATAAAACGCGTTTGCATATATGTATAATACAAGCGTTAAAGCGTATACTCAATTTCACCAATTTAAATGTTTGCTGATTACGGTGTAATTAGTATTTCAAAAACTAGTAATGGACGCAATTATTTGTTGTTTTGTATATCAGTGGTATCGCGATTCAATATCTGTACGCATTCGCGTCTTATTTTGCATATCAATGCATTTCATTAGATTTTTTCATTCCTCAAGTATCCCTCGATAAATTTCAAATTGCGTGATTAAGGGGACCACTGGACCGATAAATGATTAATCGCGCGCAAACACGCGACTTTACGTGACTATTTCGACGCATCCGCTTTCGCGCAATTTCTTTCCGTCGATTATACACGCATCATTGTAAACAAATCTTAATAGCTTAATATAAAAGGGTTGCAGCAGAAAAAACAGTTTTCCACTTATCTACTAATGGGGACGTGCTTTCGAGCATTTCCGTTCATGCATCTCGCTGCGTATCTGCATACTACTGCCGAAGGCACCGAGAAAGAAGAAAGAATAGAAGCTTTGTGGTCTCGTAAAATCAACCGCACGACCCGCACGCGCTTCCAACCGTGGCAGTTAATAAGCAGCTTGCCAAACGACCTATTCCCTCATATGTCTTCATGCGATTACGCGTCGCCTGCAGTTATTTTTCAATGCAACGCGGTTACCGCAGCTTGTTACTTCAAATCTCTGTCAACCCGAAAAAAAAGCACGGCGCAACTTCTTTCTTGCCAACAGTTCTCCACTAACCACTGGATTTGCCATACGTCGGCAAGAAGCTATTTGTCATTTTGAGACTTCTCAAATGCTTCTAGACATTAAATGTGCGAGGTGCAATAAGTATGAAAGTCACATATCTCAAGAAGAATTTTTGCAAGCGATTTTTTCAACGAGAATTTGATCGGACGTCGTATATAATTTGAATATGAATGATTGAATATTTCACTTTATATAAAGATTTTACAATTAAAACTCTCAAAATATAATCATGTTTTTTTTAAATTCTTACATTTTTAATTATGTGATAAATTCGGATTTTTATGAGAATATTATATTTTTATTATAATATAAAACATATATATATCGTCAGAAAAGTAAGATTTATTAGAACATTATTTTTGCGATTTTATCGTATCGTGAACAAGTTGTGCGCATAACGCACGCAATTTGCCGGTGGTTTATTTACTTATCGTGTTTTATCGTCAAGGTACACGACTGCTCTAATTGAGATGTCACTCCAACGCCGGTAATCGGAATCTGTTTCACGAGAAACTTGAGCCGCGGCGTATCGTTGATGCAAATACAAAAACTGTGTCGTGGATAAGAATACGAGGAGAGATAAATATTTAATATCTAAACATACTTAAAACCTCTAAATAGTAACAAGTATCAGTTAGAAATTGCGGATCCGGTTGGAATATGATACATGTTGCGTGCGACATCGGAGGCTGCAACGTGACGCCATTCTCGAAGTAGTGCACGAAATTTACGATTAGTTTAACGAGATTTCTTTATAGTTCACGTTCGCGCAAACGAGCCGAATTTATTAGGCGGACGCGTATAGCTCGCGTTGTGCGATCATAATTGGAGTATTACATTATGTCGGAGCGATTTAAAGCGGCACCGCTCCTAAAAATATTGCGGAAATGGTCGATGTAGAGCGCATTAGCCGCGAGATAAAACGAGCGCGCGTTGATGAAGAAAAATTCTTTCGGATAATGTGTTATATCTGCTTTGAATATCAACATTTTAATTGCGCCTATAAATGTACACCAATCATGCGAGCGGATCGGTTTTCACAGTAGCTCTAGCATTCAATACCTAATCTGCTGCCATCGTCGGCGTCCCGCGGCTTCGAGTTTTATTTTCAGCGTCTCCCGTGCACAAGCGAAGCAGAACGAACGAGTGCTTTCTAATTCGTAATATCGACTGCAATGCTAATGACTTACTCGCGCGCGCGACTATTGCACGATTAATGTTTCCGGAAGCGAACGAGATATCTAACGGCTACGTAAGGATGACGAATTGTCCACGTCAAGACAATGAAAACTACCTCGTCGATATAATCGAAACGATAGGCTGACTATTGCCACATTTAATCGAACGAGTGTCTCGTGAAAAGAAAAGATCAAGAACGCCTTTAATATAAAACTAAGAAGTAGACCTCTAAAATATTCTAGAGTAAAAATGTGTAGAGTAGAATTGCGGGCGATTGAAATTGACTGCTCGGCTGTTCTTTTTAGAAGAGCCGTCCAATTACGTTGTTAAAGTTAGAATATATACGTTTTATCGTAATGAACTTTATGATTATTGCAACTCTATTTATTGATCCTTAAATCAGGTTAGGTAAGATGATCACTTCAGCAAGGCGCGTCTATCGTGGAAAGTCTTTAGAACCATTAGATTTAACAAACGCGAGATACCGGAAGAACGGGTTCGCTTCTTGATACGTCGAAATTTTGTGGTCTACTATAATTTAAGATACCGTAATCATTTCCTTTCCACTATTATGCATCATGGTGTATAGTATTAGCATCCAAATTTATCGCGCTGGGTCTAACTGTACGCAATTATGTATTCGAGACGGAAAAAGTCGCGCGACAAATCGCTTCGAGAACGGCGATCGCCGTTGCATATGCATATTCGATACGTTCGGTATTAGAGTGCTTTAACGAGTAATATCGTGCACGGTTTCCATCGCCCGAGACATGGAGGATTAATCGCCCAACTCTCGCAGTGAGGTTTTCGTCGTGGGCGAAAGCATTTACTTGACAAATCGCATTGAGAACGATAACGATGAGGCGCGGATATCGTACGCGAAAATATACACTCTCGTAATAGGATGACGGTTATAATACCGCATATATTAACGCGCGAAAGAATGTCCTTTGAGCGGCGAACGAGCCCCGTTAATGTGCGATATGTACGATATCTCGTCGCGAGATTAATTGCGCTGCGAGCGAAGTCATTTGTATCGCGAGCGATCGAATTGAAAACGATAGCGCGGACGATACCAGTCGTTTCGGATTGTCGTACCGACTTCTATATGGTTTGATCGAATTACGGTTATCGCGGTCGTGTCAAGATACGGTGATAGTTTCTGCAGCTCGGCCACGCGCTCCCGTGCATTTTTCTCGGACGATTAATGATACCGCCGGCGAACTCTTTGCGTAATTCAGTGGCAAATATCTCTGCGTAGCGCACATTTCTCCGTATATATCCCATAAGTCTCCGTGCAACCCGCGTTAACTCGGAGTCTCGCTTGACGGGACAGCCGCGATCCTGTTCCGATCCTGTTTCGCTATCTAACGTCGGCTTGCTGATTGCGATTTATATAGACGTGAACCGTTTAAAGACCGTCCC